AAGCTCTCCATATTTGAAAAAAAATACTAAAAAGGCCTTTAAGAAAACCAAAAATGATCCTTCATACAAGATGTATATGGTTTTACTTAGGAGATTATTAAACAGTAGGAGGAGTTTAAAAATGGCTGAAAGATAGAGAAAAAGAAGGAAAAAAGTACTACGGAGCTGAAAACACATTAGAGGGAACTAAATGTACTAATGCGAGAAAATCATGTTCAGAAACAAGATGGAGAGTACTGAAGCGCAAATACTGACGTGAAAAGAGCAAAGCACTCAAATGCTTGCAGAGGAGACGCATGAAAGTGGACAGTATCGACTCAACACACTATAAATACAACGGGTGTTCCTAGAGAAAAGGTCACAACAAATGCACCAGAAAAGTGTTTTAAGATAAAGTCTAAAATCTGCAGATTAAAGGGTACACTGTGTCCCAAGAAAAATGACCCTAAACTATTAATTCCAACCATATTTTGGAGCAGGTACCGACCTTCAAGGAGGAGGAGAGAATTCAAGTAGAACAAAGCAAGGTCATGTAAGGGGGTGGGTGGGGATGGAACTAGCATCAGATATCTGGGCAACATCAATCCATACCAGAAAATGGTAGAGCATCTTCCTATCTTCCTGTACTGAAGAAGCGTCTTGCCTGTGAAGATTATGCGAAAGAAAGTGCAACCTATCTTGTCATTCTAAGCATACAAAGGAAAATAGCACCCGGGAGCCTCTTTCAAAAACATATCTTAATGATAAGCTCCAGCCACATGAGAGAGAAATCAAGACTAAGAACTCAGAAATGGGGAAGCAATGACAAAAAGTAGTGGTAGGGATTACTGAGTGAATTTAAAATAGAGCCAAGACATAACCAAGGGAATTATGGTCACAAACGAGAATGTACATGCACAACGTTAAAATGATCTAACTAATATAAATGTTGATGGGAGGTCAAAGGAGATGAGAGTGTTCTTGTATCCTCCTTCTTTGTAGTATATCTTATCTAAAGTTTAAGCATAAAGATTAAAAACATAAAATTCAGTCTTGAAATGGGGAGTTAAAATAGTCAATGCTTCCAGTTGTGATCCTTTATTTTAACTTTAACTTACTCAGCATCTTGGAGTGACAGGTCGAGGGTTAAGAGGACAAGCAGAATGAACAAGTGAACAGAAGGCTGCCGCTCCCTCCCTTGTAAACCACAAGGGTCGTTGAGAGAGATGCCGGGGAGACGGGAAGGGATTTGAAACACCAAATCAATACTCTCAAAGACAATGAGTTAAACTTTAAAGTTAAACTTTAAATTGTTGGGAAGAATATTTCCAGATTGAAATAAATTTACTTTCAGTTTGTACAATATGTTGTGCAGGGATGATGTTGGATCCCTGTGCTGGGATGTTGTAAAAGACACTGTGGAGTTTTAGCTTAAAGGAAACTGTCCCAGTATATATGAGTGATTTAAACCTGTGTGATTTAAACTTGGTTTTCTTATGATATACTGTTCTTCAAAATAAATTAGTTGCTCTACTTATTTAATATAAAAAGATAATCTGATAAATTTGGTTTTCTTAAAATGTGAACACTCAGAAAAAAAAAAAAACAGATAAAAATATTTTTCATTGCCAAGATTTTGGCATGGGGTCATAAACTTGGAAAACTTCGTTTTTCCTTAGACACTAGCATTTACGTGCTTAAACTCACTGAAACTAAGTGCTCATTTATGTGCTTCTTTCCTTAATGGTAATCCTGATCTGTTTTAAAAATTAGAAGGAATAGTAATTGCTCAGTCTGAGAGCCTCTGGATATGACGACATGCCCACATGAAAAGACAGGCATGGCAGCCATCCCTGGGGGAGCATCCCAAATGCTAGGCTCAAGCCACATGCCCCCTAATATTTCAGCAATGATCACAACTAGTAATTGCTCAGTCTGAGAGCCTCTGGATATGACGACATGCCCACATGAAAAGACAGGCATGGCAGCCATCCCTGGGAGAGCATCCCAAATGCTAGGCTCAAGCCACATGCCCCCTAATATTTCAGCAATGATCACAACTAAGAAAACCAAGACTTTACTATTACTACCCACAATCTGCAAACCCTTCACAGCAGTCTGAGAATCATTTAATATTCATTTGAATTGAATGAAGTTAAATTAATGCAATGTTTTGTCTAGTCTTTAAAAATCTTACCTTGGATTCCATTCAGAGAACTTTCCTGAGTCTTCTCTCTTTGGACAGGTGGAAAATTCTGGTGATCCTTGGCTCAAAGGTAGAAATTCACAGAACATATCATATTTTGAGTCCATTTACCTGGTCATGGCAACAACGTCAACCGTTGGCTTTGGAGATGTGGTAGCCAAGACATCCCTAGGACGGACCATCATCATGTTCTTCACAGTGGGGAGTTTGGTGAAGAGTGTTTTTAATATCTTTTGAATATAGCTACATAAGCCAAAAGACATTGGGTTAATGGTGAAGAATAAAACAGTATAGGTTTGAGAGTGAATGTCTCATTATTCAAAGCAGGTGTCAAATGAAAGTGAAAAGATGTGTAGATCCTGTATTTCCCAAACTACATCCCCTGGTGGAGCATGTGATGCAGTTGCTTGGTTGCTAGAGTTGAAGGAGTTGGACAAAGGAGAGCAGACGTTCCTTGTTAGCCTCTGCACTGATTTGAGCAACCCTATCTTACTCCATCTTTTGCCCATCAGATCAAAGTCTTTCTTCTAAAAAGGAAGAGCAGTTGAGATTTGACCTGAAGGAAGTCTGTTCCTTCCAGACCAAATGAATAATCTCTCACCAAACCAGCATTTAACTCCAGATAAATGAATATCTATAGAGTATTGCAAGGGCAAAGGAAGTTTCTTTTTCTTTCAGTGATTTTTGTTTCTATTCCTCTTTTTTTTAATTAACCAAACATAATAATTTATTACTGAAGACCTGAATATATAAGTATACAAGATAAAGAAGGGACAGTTTTGTAATCCTTTATAATAATGTAGCACATTTAAAAACTGAAAGAGAGTTCTCCACTCCACCTTTCTGATATCCCCCCATCCACAGGGTTACCTTTTCATTTCAGTAATTATCTCTTAGCCTCCTCTGTACCGTGTGCTTTTATTTGTTTGGTTCCTAAATAGCATAAAGTTAGAGTCAGAAGGGAAGTTAGAAGTGATGAAGGGGCAGAGTGGGTAGAGGAGTAGACTTACTGCTTGCCTTTGCTTTTGTCATGTTGGATGCTGAAAGTATTTTATTAAATTGTAACCAAACCAAAGGCTGAAACAAGGAAGAAAAATGATCTCCTTTTCAAAATGCAATTCACCATCACACCCCTCCTAGATGAAAGTTTTATGTACCTTCTTTCTCTTTTGTGATCTCAGAATTTTGGAATATCCATCTAAATGATGAGACCTGAGGTTTTATTTGCTAATCATTTTAGGTACTATTTGCAAAGTATGTCCCTGAAATGGTGGAACTTTTTGCTAACAGGAGGAAATACACCAATGCCTATCAAGTAGTCAGAGGGAAGAAGTAAGTAGCTTTTCAAGTATAATTTCTATGGTCTGAGATATTCTATTAGTCACTATTGCCTGGCCTAGTTATAGAACCAAACGTGAATATATTGGCAAAGGCCTTTATTTACTGAAGAATGCTGTGCTGCAATAAATACCATAAGAAGATAATATTTTATACTTGATACAAATGACCATATAGATGCTCATTAAAGCAGTAAATCAACTAAAATGACAGATAATGTTGTAATTCACTATCAGTAAATATTGATTATGGCATATTCTTACATTCCTTATCACTGGCTATTCTCTCTATTCTCTTATATCCACCACTAATTGCCTCAGTCATTTGCATCCAGTTGTTGACTTATGGCTAATTTAACATGATGTATCAAATTAAAGCCATAGTTCAAATCCTATATTTCTGTGGATTCGTGTTACCTCAGCTTCCATTATGCTCTCTCACATCTAAGAAGAAAAGAACGGATGGGAGATCTTACATGTGATGTGATTGCTTTTACTTAGTCCCTATCTGCTGCAGAGAGAAGAGGCACAGTGGAGATAAATTCCCTTAAAGTAGTGGGTAAAAACCATGATTGACTTAGGAGTATGAAGAGGATAAAAAATGATGAGAAACAATGAAATAAGCTAAATAAGCCCAAATCTGGCTCTATTCATCTCAGGAAAGGCATATGGGACACATGCTAAATCAGCCAATAGGGTCGGGAAAACATAAAGTTAACTTGAGCTAAAAGTATGCTTTCAGATTTCTTAAGTGACTAATAGGAAGGAAATAACTTCTTTAAATACATTAAGCTTAAGAAAACTGAGGGAGATTTTTCAACACAAAACATGCACGCATAGATTTCTGAACCCGTCCTAGATGTCTCTCTATTGCACTATTTTGTAACTACTAGATAATTATTGACATGTAAGATAACTGAAATGACCTAGGACATGATCCTACCTCAGCCATATTATTTGGCTAAGTGAAAATTTAAAAGCCATTCTGAGCCTTAGTTCTTTAATGAAAAAAGACTTTATCAGCCAATCAGGAATGCTTAATACCCTGATATGATGGCTAAGTGAAAATTTAAAAGCCATTCTGAGCTTTAGTTAGTTCTTTAATGAAAAAAGACTTTATCAGCCAATCAGGAATGCTTAATACCCTGATATGATGATTGCACACTGTATAAATGTACCCAAATATCATATTGTACTCCATAAATATATACAATTGTCATGGGTCAATTAAGAAAAATACATTTTTAAAAATTTCAGAGACAGAGATAGATTAGAGGTTACAAGAAATGGGAGGTGGCAGGGAGGGGAAAGGGGTAATAAGAAGTTATTGCTTAGGGCCGGCCTGGTGGCGCACTGCTACAGTGCGCCGCTTGGGAGCACGGCGGCGCTCCCGCCGTAGGATACGATCCCTCGTTCAATAGGGCTACTT